CCCCCCCCCTTCTCTTTCTCCTTTATATAAAAAGACAAAAATCCTAACCATTGCTTCTGTTTTTGTGGCACACAGTTAAAAAGAGTTCAAATCATAGTACAGTGCAAGTGTCTGTTGGCCCTGTGGGTGGTGACAAAAGTACAGGTGTCCTTGTTCCCATTACAAGGAAGGTCAAACAGAAACCCAGGAGGGGTGTCACAGCATAGTGGCAACTCTATGTCACCTGCCTCCTAGCCTTAGTCTCTTTGTGCTTCTCAGACCCTGCAGCCTCTACTGTGGTAATCTGCAGAAATACTGGTGGGCAGAAGAAAGTAGACATGGAAAGGACAGTCAGCCTTAGGAGCTTAGGACCATGAGTCAAGCTTCACAAACCATGCTCTAGGGTAATGTTTCTCAAATGGTGCCTTTCAGCTCTGCAAAGCAGTGGAAGTGGATGGAAAGCAAAGAAACAGTTGTTATGATAGACAAGCCCATGGCTGCCAGCCCATCTCCATCCAAACAATTGGAACTGTCCCAGTGGGAATGGGTCCCTTAGTGGGGGAGTAGATTCCCATCTTGCAGAGTCTTCCAACAAAGGCTAGATAGTCATTTGTTGGGGACAGGTATGGTTGGATCAGATGGCTACTGAGATGCCTTCCAACTCTAAATTGTCATTCTATGATAATTTGCTGTCTTTGCAATTCATACACTGTTTATGTGTTCAGCCAACATGGAGAACCACTGGAGGTTGGTAAATATCATTCATGTGACTGAAAATTGGCTTATTAATTTAAAATAATGAACCTAACAATATGTATAAGGACTTGAATGTCACTTTGCCTTGGCAGAGAGCAAATAAAATAACAGCTGTCCATTTATATTAGTTTCTACCATAGATATTTTTGTGCTAGTGCCCATTATGCATATGCCAATTATCAACGGATCTATAATTTCCCTCATCTTCAGGAATTCCAGGTGTGAGCCTTGCTTCCATAAATGCAGAAACATGTCAGTTATGATTTTGAACATAAGTTCTAAAGAATTGCCTCAGGCACACAGGTTAAGTGACTTATACAGAGTCACACAGCCAGTAAGTGAATAAGGCCCTATTTGAACTCACGTCTTCCAGATTCCAAGCCTTATGCTCTATCCATTACACCAACGTGTCTCTACAACCTGTTCTGCATAATTGGGTAAAATAGGAAAGTTTGAAAAGAGTAAAAAGCAAAATTTGAATAATCAAGACTCTAATAATGAAATAAATATCTTTGAAACCCCCCTGAGCACCAGATCCCAAATGCAGAAGAAACATAACAGTGATGACAAGTAAGCACCAATTTGTGTTTACTTCTATTAATCCTGAGTATGATACTGTACCCGATTCTTAAATTGTTCTAACGAAATTACAAACAAGTGAATTTTAAAACAAAATTTTATTTTTTAAAAGTGAAAATGGAATCAATCCTCTACAAGTAAAAGGGAAAATAAACATTGGAATAGTATATCTTATAACGTAGGCTATTGCCTCAAATGCTGGATGATATTATTAGAAGCAAAATAATTTAGATCTGAGAACAGAAGTTTCTCTTCTTAATAAGCTCTATGCTATTTGGTATCTTTAGTAGTAGGTAGTAGAGGATAGAAAGGCCTGGTGTGCTCTGTTCCTTGGGGTCTGGAAAAGTCGGACAGGACTGAACAACTGAACAGCCACAACAACAAAATGTAAAGAGATAATTTAAAAAGATTTGACTGAAAGGCTTCTGTCAGAGTTTTGTTCAAAACAAAGTTTCCTTCCCAAGTCTGAAGAATCCTGCTGGAGGACACACTGCTGAGTCACTTTGGGACACCTTCTTTGGGCCTTTCCTATCCCGGAACAGGGCAGGAATAACCTTGCTAGGACAGGTGGATTAGTTGCCTGCTGTTTGGGAAAGTTTTTTAAGGTCTGCAGACAGAAGATTTTTATTAAAGACAGCATTTCATTCTTATCTGCAATGGGAGAAATCTCATATGGGATGCAAAAGGGGGATAAAAAAGGAATACTTAGGATCCACATAAATTGTCTCTCAAAAAGCTGTCAAAAGAAGGGAGTAATTTTGATCCACAGCCTTCTGACAAGTAATATAAAACATCTGGTACCAGATTTAAATAGAAATTAGCAACTAGAAAGTTATTTCTTCTTTACTTCTATTCTTGGAATGACTCTTCCCTCTCCTCCTCCTTTATCATTTCCCCTTCTCTTTCCCTTTCTCTTTCCCTTTTTTTCTTTTCTCCTGTTATCTCTTTTCTTCTCTTTTTCATTCTTTTTCTTTCCCTCCCTCTTCTCTTCTTTCTCCTTGCATCTCTCCCTTTCCTCCTGTCAGGGACTAGACTTCCCAGAGACAAATACCATTCATTCAACTCTTTTCCTAAGTATCACTGACATTCAATGGGGTACAACTTATAAATAGCAATGGAGGATTATACCTTATTCCAGTGGGGTTGGGGTAGCAGAGTTCACTGGAAGGACAAGATTGACTATACTTCCTAGTACCTGTATACTACTGGGGCAACATTCTACCTCTCTGAGTTTCAAATAATAAATAAAGTAAAATAATGGAAATCTTTAAGATCCTTCCCAGTTGTGATCAGATAGGAAGAGAAGCCTAAGGAACATTGTCAGTCAACAAACTGGAGTAATAAGGCATGGTCAGAGCATTTCCATGAGGATCACAGGAGGAAAAAACAGAGGAAATACAGTGGTGGAAGTACACCATTGACCAGTGGTTCTCAAAGTGTGGTCCAAGGATGTCTCTGGATCCCTGAAATCATCTCAAGGGGTCTGTGAGGTCAAAACTATTTTCATAATAGCACTAAGACTTTTTCATTTTTAATGCAGTAAATATGAACAAATACAATTCATATAACTAAAAACTCTTTGTGGGGCCCTCAATAGTTTTTTAAAATGTCAAAGAGTCCTGTGACCAAAAAGTTTTCAAAACACTGCTATAGACCACCAGATCAGTTAGAGGCATTGGATGATGAGCACAAAGCTTCCAGAGGCAAGATCTGGTTACAGATGGGGGACCTCAACTCTCCAGGATTTCTGCCAAAGCACAGCAGATAATCAATTCTTGACCTGTCTTTCTGATGATATTTTTAAATTTAGAAGGAGTAACATGAACTTCTATTATTCTGAGCCCAATGCTGACCAGTAAGGAGGAAATCAGTTGGTTAAAGTCAAGATCCAGGGAAACTAAAGAGACAATCATCACATCATTGAGGAGTTTGTATAGATAAGAAGAGAAATTTTGGACCAGAATCAGCCTGGTGTCCTAACCTTTAAGATAACTTATTTTGTAGAGTTTATAAAAATGATGAATAGGATCCCATGGATTGATACCCTAGAAAGGAAATGGGTTCAGGAAGAAGGGGGTCTCAAGAATAAAATTCTGGTGACGGTACTAATTAACTCTGATGAGAAAGAAAGAAGGTAGATAAGACAGCTAAAGAATCCAGCGTGCGTGAACAAGTCATTGACCAATCTCTAGTTTTCAAATAACAAATAAATAAAGGCAGCATTTTGCAGTGGATTTAGGGCTGCCTTCAAAGTCAGAAAGACCTGGATTCAACCCTCATTTCCTGACTCATCCTACATCTGTGACTCTGGGCAACTCTTTTAGCCTCCCAGACTCTAAGTGGTCAAGCAGGTGCTAATCTTCATGAGTAGAGAGGCTTACTTCCTCACTTGGAATTCCCTAAACCAATGACATAGTTTCAGCCAAAAATAAAAAAGATACAAGAGATATAAAGGCAGACCAAGTAAATGAAGATGAGTACGAATGTGTGGCAAAGTCCTGAGAGATGTCAGGGAAGATAAGGTCCAGTTGAGGTTCACAATAAATTCTAACAACAACAAAAAGAACTTCTTTAAGTAATATTGGAATCAAAAGGAAAAATCAAGCAATAGTCAGAAACTCCAATGGAAAAGGATAATGGAAAACCAATATTCAACTATTTTGCTTCAATTTTCATTATCAGGAATAAGCTCTCAAGCTGGGAAGCTATTGTTGGTAGGGAAATGAATCTATCTTAAGAAGTTGATTTGATGGCAGTTTCTTGCTGCTGGCCCTGGGAATCAAAACAGCTCTCTCTCTCTCTCTCTCTCTCTCTCTCTCTCTCTCTCTCTCTCTCGCTCTCTCTCTCTCTCTCTCTCTCTCTCTCTCTCTCTCTCTCTCTGACTAAAGGCTGCTTCTGGGGCCAAAGGGAAGATGATTCCTTCCAGCCCTGCTAAGGGTCAGACAAGCCTTTCACTTGTCTTCTCTCCTAACAGATCGATCTCCAGGCAGTGCAAGAAAAGTTCCAAGAGAAGTACCAAAAATCTCTCGCAGACACCATTCGCTCTGACACATCTGGAGACTTCAGGAAGCTGCTATTGGCTCTTCTACACTGAACCTCTCCTGAAGCAGCAAGAACGAGGAAACAACCACCTTCATTACGGGCACTTTTCAAATCCTGATGAAAAATATGAGACAAGCAGGAGAGGCCATCAAGGGTATGAGTTTATTTTCCAAGCCCTGTTTGCCACAGCCATGCCAGCAGGCTCATTTGAGGATATCATTCTCACCAGCGCTGAAATGTACCAGCAAAAATGGTCTCGGCGCTTTTCCTCTCTTGCTCTTTTTTTTTCTTTTTTAACATGTCACAGAATGTTTACAGAGTACAACAGCAGAGTGCAAAACCAGAAGCTAACGAGAAGCTATGTGTTTATAAATAAAAATGTATATACATTCACAAAGGCGTTTGTGTTATTAGAGGGGTGGGATTCTGACTGGATCAAGTGATTAATGTCTACATCAGAATTTAACAATAAGCAGATTCATTCATTTCCTTTCTGTTTATACTCGTCTTTTTTTTTTTTGGTGGGGGGAGATGGGAGGGTCCTGGACCTATAATTTCATCGACACAAGAAATTGCAGAAACTCTCTCAACTGATGCAAATCAGCAACTGTCTTCTAACTTAACCATCTTAAGAGATTCACCTAGGATACTATGGAGTGACTTGCCTATGGTCACATAACTACTGTCAGAGGCAAAATCTGAACTCACATCCTCTCAATCTAAGGCAAGCCCTCTGTCTACTTCACTTTGCTAGTCCTCATATATACTTATATGGACTAATTCAATCAGCTGAATACACAGTCTGGGCAACCTGCCCAGCACCTGTAGACATGAAATCTGTAACCTCATCCAAGTTATCTTCTCTGTGATACAAAGGGTATGGACTAAATGACCCCTATGGTCCTACAATATGTATGTGTGTATATTGTGTTTGTGTGTGTGTGAATATATGTACACATGTGTATAGATCCATATACAACCATATATGTGTATATTATAAACATATATACATATATATTATGTGTGTATATGTGTGTGTGTGTTTGGGCCAGCCCTGTCATTTGGTGGGTATAGGCAGCTTTCTGGGAGGAATTTCCTCCATCAATACAGATCGCATTTTCTTTGAACCTTGAAGCATTACCTGGGAAAATGGTTCTGTAACTTGCTTAGGGTCACACAATCAGTATGAGTCAGAGGCTCAACTTTAACCCAGGTGCTCCTGACATGGAAACCAGTTTTCTATTGGCCATGTCATGCTGCCTCTCATCTATATGGGGCTAGGCACTAGACCTATGATTTCATTGATTGAGGAAACTTCCTGATGAGGAAATTCCCTCTACTGATGAAGATCATCACATCCTCAGCAACTGTGAGTCTGCAAGAGTTTCCTAGAGCACTGAGAAGTTAAGCAACTTGCCAGGGTCACAGAGCAAGTTTCTGTTAGGCATAAGACTCAAAACTAGATCTTCCTGGCTCCCAGGACAGCTTCTCTAGCTACTATAATAATAGCTAGTATCTATATAGCATTTTATGGTTTACAAAGTGCTTTATATATGTTAACTCATTTAATCCTCACTCACAACAGCCCTGTGAGGTAGGAACTGTTATTACCCCCATTTCACAGATGAGGAAACTGAGGCTGAGGGAAATGCTGAGGTCCATACAGCTCACAGGTATCTGATTCCAAGTCCAGAGAGTACTCTATCCACTGCTCCACTTACCTGCACTCTCTTCATCTATGTAAATACACACATACATACACTATCATTTAAACTTAATAGTTCATTTAAAAAAACAGCTCATATTTACACAGTGGTGGGAGTGTTAACATTCTCATTTTATAAATGAGGTCCAGAAAAGTGACTTGCCCACAGTCACACAACCAATAAATAAATGTAAGAACCATATTTTTCCTGGCTCCACACCCAATGAATTCCTTCTATTATGGCATAACTGCTCCAATCTCCAATTGCTCCAAAATTCCCTCTCAAAGACCGCTAATGTTAGTTTGCTTAAGTCAAGTATTATACTTTCCTGTCACAGATATCTACAAAGAAAGCTTGACTCATCTTGGAGGCAAGATGTAAGACTCATAAAATTCAAACATGCTTGTGAAATGCAAACACAAGATCATCTAACAATGGTCAATAATAGCCTGTAACACCTGCTAATGTACCCTTCTAATTGGTCTCTCTGATTACTCTTCTTTTTATGATTAATCTTTCTCACAGCTGCCAAAATAGTCTAGCTAGGCATTAATCTGTAGGATTTATTTCATTGTTTGTGCTTGTATCCCCAGTGCCTGTCTGACACATAGTAAGCCCTTAATATATGCTTAATGACTGACTGACTCATGTCACTGCCTTACTTGAAAACCTTCAGTGGCTACCTATTGCCTCTAACTTACAATATATCTATTCCTCAGTCTGGTGTTTAAGGCTCTCCATGACCTATCTCAAAATCACCTTTGCAGTATTAATTCATATTATCCCGTTTCCCGCATTCTATGTTCCATTCAGCCTAGATTATTGATTTTTCCCTGCAATTAACTTTCCATTCACTGCCTCTCTATGTTGACACAAGTTATTCCCCATGCCTGGAATGAATGCACTCTCTTAGCTCTGTCTCTGAGAATCATCATCATCAACATCATCATCATCATCATCATCATCATCATCATCATCATCATCATTCACACATATATGTATATATGTACATCTTTGTGTGTATATATGTGTGTGTGTCAGTTTATAGCAGTATATGTGTGTATATATGTATATATATACATATATGATCAGTTTAAGGTTTTCATTGACTTTTCCCTCTTCTTCCTAGAGTTGTTCTTGTTTACCTCAATTGTTTAGCACTGAATCCTCATCTCACCACCTGAAAGTGAAAGAATTCTGCCCTTTTTTCATTGTTATTCAGAGTTCATAGATTGTAAAATTTATAGCTGCAGAAGACCTAAGAAGTCATCTGATCCACTCCCTCATTCTATAAATGACAGCATTGAATCCCAGGAACATTATAGGTTAGACTAAGACACCCTCTGAGGTCTCTTACAACTTTCAAACTCTATGACTCTGTTATAGCTTTTGTAGTTATGGGCATCCATATCCCAAGTTCCCCTTGACCTGAAACACTGGGTTACCAGAGTGAGGCTGGCTATATCCCTGAGGCATATTTCGAATGCTATTAGCCTGAGCACCCATTCCAGTGCTATTCTCCTACAATATCAATCACTGGGTATGGCATCTCCCTTATATTATTGGTATTCTCCAGTGACTAGCGACTCAGGATCATTTAACCAATTAACATCAATTAGCTTTTCCAAAGAGATAGTTATTGAGAAAATGGAAGAAGAACAAGAGTACAACCCAACTAGGATACAGGAAGGGGCACAGACTACTCTCCTATCCCACCTCTGGGGAGAGTAGGATCAGACCTAAAAAGTTTCTACATAGCATTGGTTCCACCAAGTTCATATTCAAATGTGGCAACACTGCCAAATGAGTACTCATCTCAGCTACATTTGGGCTGGGACTACCCTCTGGGCATATATTCTGTGCTCAACTCCCAGTCTCAAGAACTCCCCAGTGGCTTGCTCTCCTGGCCTTTCAAAACTAATAAGGTCATAGTCTCCAACTTCCTCCATCTAAAATGAACAGACACAGGGGCAAAGAACCAAGGCCCATTTTCACAGGCCTCGGATGAGAGAGCCTAAGAATGCTCTTCTTACATCACTGTCTCTCACTGGTTGCTATCATCCAGGAAGAAGTCAAATGAAGATAAGGGGTCAGAGAGAGAGACAGAGACAGAGACCAAGACAGACAGAGACAGACAGAAAGAGACAGACAGAAACAGAGAGGCTACCACTTTACTTGGCTTCCGCCTCATGCAAGTACCTCCCACACTCAAAGACTCCTCCTTACTACAAGAAAAGTAGATTGTAACCAGTTACAAAATGTCTCCATGTGCTCCAAAGTCTCTTCAAAACACTTCCATTACACATTGTCACAGCTGTCCTAGAATCAGTCATCCTGGCCTCTTCCATATGGGAATTACATCAGTGGCACTCTGTATATACTCGTAAGAGCTGGGCTCAGTGACCGTTCCTCCAGTTATATAAATATATTTGAATACATATTCAAAATAAATACTAAATAAAGACAAAACACAATACACAGAGAGAGACGAAGTGTGACAATCATCACGTGATTCTTTTCTTGGGTAGTTTGCAGAATGTCTCATTTGTTATTTAAATAAATTGTTATTGATATCTCTTCTTTTAACATCAACTATAATTCCCATTCTAACCTTCTCCTCATTCAGAGAGTCATCTCTTATAATACATGTAATAAGAGACTGGTCAAGCAAGCATCAGTCCTGGGAGCACGGGCATTTGATGAGCCTGTTTTCAGGGCTCATTACCAGCCCTCCCCATCCCCTCTCATTACAGGAAGGAAAGAAGGAAGGAAGGAAGGGAAAGAAAGAAAAAGGAAAGGAAAGGAAAGCATTTAAGATTAACCAATGAAACTAACTCTTGAAAAATTATCTGACATTATATGCAGTATTCCATGCCTATAGACCCCCACTTCGGTAGAGGGTAGGTGGCTTCCCATATCTCTCTTTGATGCCAAGCTTGGTCACATTACTTTATAATCATAGTTTGTATATCTATCCCCAGAAGATTTTTTGAAAGTGTTTTGGAAAATGCAGGTTATAAAAAGAGACAACAGAGAAAAAGGAAAATATATCATATATCCTATAAACAAGTCTTCCTAACAGAAAAAGAAGACTGTTCCTGATCAAGTGAGGAGAATGATGGGGGCAAAAGCAAGGAAACAAACTGGGGAAAGAAATGCTAGCTGTCTTCAGACAAACATCCCTCTGGAGCTGAATGTCAAAGCCCCAGGAACATGGCAGTCCCGGGGGAAATTCAACCTTCCATGGCCCAAAGAGAATTTTATAAATGCAGTTGTCTAGCCCAGGAGTACAGAGCTTGAGTTAAAGATCTCATGGCCTCTAATATAAAACGCTCCTTCATACAGCAGAGCAAACCATGTCCCAAACCAGTTTATAGCCAATAAAAATTTCTCAAGTGAAGCCCCAGCCAACCTCCTGCTTTGAACCAGATAAGGCACATTAACAAGGGCGCCTGAAAACCAGAAATGGTATTCATCCCCCAGAGCCAACAAGGAGGATGTTTCCAGATCTGTGTGACTCCTAGGTTCAAGATGAGATCTCCACTCGGGGCCCTCATGTCGCTGTCTCTCCTTGGAGGATCAGACCTGGGGAGGCCAGAAGAACATGCTAGCAGTCATCAGGTCAAAGGGATAGAAACAGGCCAGACTGGAGAGATGTC